AGAGAGCACAAGTTGTTGAAAGGAGGGACAGATTCTAAACTGATCTGCAGCCGCCACTCTCTTAATATTTATAGGTTATGTTTAGTACATAATGGAAAGGACACATCTGCCCTTAGTACTTGCATAATAAATAAAGTAAATAAAAGCTGAAATAAATAACAACTGAATTAACAAATTGACTCAAACTRACACTGYTATAACTGAAACAAATAACTACACTGCTGTCCTACGAACACAGTGGGGACCACTGCAGTGGGGCCCGCATCAGTGTTCTCTACATTTTATAAGAGGCATGGAGCATTTGCTTTTTAGATTGCAACTCATTTCTTTTCTAATGTGCTTGCTGTGTTTGCAAATTGAACTTTAATATTCTTATAATGTGCTTCTATTTGTGTTGAAAATTTAATGATGTTCAGGTCAGTTTCGAGGGGAAAATCAAACAGTTATTAGATGAGAAATCATTCTTGATTCTAAAAGGGGTAAGCTTTCTCCCTGCTTTGTTGAAATTGATAATAAGTACTGGTAGAGGAATATTGACTCTTGCTATGTTTTGTTTTTATGAATTAATGTGTGTATTGGTGCATATTCTTGTAAAGACATATACATGATGCTTTTCATCACAAAACTAACTAATTCACTATTCTCTACAGGCCAGCTTTGAGGATACAATTAAGCGTTTAAAGAGTGAGAAAGACTCTTTGATCCTAAAGGAGGTAACAGCTTGTTTAATGTGTATTGTTTCTGTGCCTTGGGGGGCATTTCAAAAAATGGCAGCTCACTGGTGAACGCGAGTATTTTACTTGGTCATGATTCAGTTGATAATAAATATTGTGGACAATTTTCACATAGCTTGGGGAATGGACGTTTTGTGCTTTAGCAAAGTGGTTTTGTTTTTCCTAAATTGTCTTGTCATGTTTATCTTGTTTGGACATTTCTGATTTGTTATCTATATAATTGATTTTCTTTGTTTAAAAGGAAAAATGAATATTTGTCATGTCAGTAAGTCAATTTTCTCTATGTATTTAATACGTCTCTTTCTGAATCTTACATGCTATTTATCTTGTTCTCAAGTAAATCTACTCATCTTTGAACATTTTTAAGATATTTTTATAAGTTACAGATCAAAGGGATTTTATTAATTTTGAAAATAGAAGAGAAATATATGAAGAAAGAAAAACAGAGCTAGACAGGAATGGCTATCTCATTGCAGTGTCAGGTCTCACTACAAATCAATTCTATCATCTCTTTCCCTAGTAAGACAATCAATTAGGAGTTCGGGATAGCAATGTACCCACCTAAATCAAGTGTTGATGCTAGATGCCAGGTAGGACCTAGCCTCTGTAGTCAATCCTTGGACCTGACTTGGTTTCTCTCATGCACACGATGTCAACTTGAGAAACCCTTTCTAGTCTGTATCCCAACAGTCTACCAGTCTCAGCCTTGAAAGTAGTGCATGATTTTCTGGCAGAATAGAGTTTCCTTTGCCAGCAAGACTGGAGAAGACAGTCAATATCTTGCCAAGATGATTCTGAATGACCCCTCCTATACCTGATTTTCTGGGGTTTCTATTGTCACAGCCATCAGAATTTTATGAGATGAACAATGCTATAATGATGGGAGTGTTCATCATGGAGCCTTTGAATCACAGAAGGACAAAATAGAATACCCATTGCACAAAACCTCTGTTCATTATTTTTTTTTATGCTCTTACCATTTAAGAGCTTTATGATGGATAAGGCCTGAGTAGCTGGTAGTTCTCTTACCAGATAGTATGTGGTTATTCTGAAACTTGCAATATTATCATTGTTAGAATACACAAATCAGGGGTATTTTGGTCATTTGGGTTTATCCATCTGAGAGTGAAAGGTCTATTTTGTTTAAGTTTAAGTTATGTGTCCCATCACTTATGAGGGACAATATGGTCTTTCTTGTAACTATGTTATTGGAGATAAATACAAGTGRRTCGGMTAGAGGTGGACTGATTTTTCCTAATCTGGCCGAACGCTTCTCTTCTTCTTCTTCTCCTCTTCTTCTTCTCTACTTTAACCTAGAATCAAATAGGGATTTTTCAT